GAGTTGAGGGCCAAGTTAACCGAGTCTGTGGCCAGGTTGAAAGTGAGTTGTCAACCAAGGCTCCAATCTCATGTGGGGTTCAGGGTCCTCTTCCAAGCTCAGTGGTTGTTAGTGGGCTTCACTGTCTTGCTATTGAGGTCTCATTTTCCACCTGGCTGTGCCCTCAGCTCCCAGAGGCCTTGCTCAGGTCCTAGCTACCTGGCCCTTGCACAACTTCAAAGACAACAAATAGTCTCTGCTTTTTTTTAAAAAATGAAGTCGCAAACTGTGGCAGAATCTCAGCAGTGACTGTCTCCTGACCATGGTCTCAGTCAAAGGCTGGCTGTGCACCCTCTGAAGGGTCTAGGGAGTGATCCAGGGAGCTGCAGCCCATCATATGTGCTGGTGCTGTCCACAATCATGGAACACCGGAGGCTGGACACGACAAGGAAGGTTGCTTTCCCTACAGCCTTCAGAGGGAGTGTGGCCCCTTTAACACCTAGATTCCAAACCTACAAAACTGTGAGAAAATTAATGTTATTTTAAGCTATCAAGTTTGTGGTAATTTGTTATAACAACTCTAAGACGTTAATACAGGGAGGGAGAATATTTGGGTTTAGTTCAAACCTTACACATGTGGTATACATGAAGGACCCTTGGTGAGGGTGGCCTATGGCAGCTGGAGAGGTGAGAAGTTAGAATTAGAGGTATTAATTTTGGAGGCTTACACACACACACACACAATCACAATCACAAAAGCCATGTGTGTGGTACACATCTGTAATCTCAGCACCTGGGAGGCTGAAGCAGGAGAATCACAAACTCAAGGTCAGCCAGGGGAATTTAGTAAGCTCAAGGCAAGCATGGACTACTATATAGGGAGACCCCATAAGTGAAAAGCTGAGTATGTCAGTGCATGCCTGTAATCTCAGCACTCCAAGAGTGTGGCGGTCCAGCCGTCACAACACTAACATGCCTGAGTTGGGGAGTGAGGATTGAGAAAGGAAAGAACACTAAAGCCTGAGTGGAGACCAAGAAAAGTCTGATTAATTTCACAGAAACAGCTCCTTTTATAGGTTCACATCAACAGGAAGCACCAAGCAACTATTTGTATCTTTTATGCAAAGACTGGATTTTCTGACTCTTTACAAAGAACATCAGATCTATGGCTGTCTCTCTGAGTTTCTCTCATTGCAGCAACAAGTTTAACAAGCAGAGAGTCCTAGAATGTTACACAGATTGTATCAATGCCTTGAGTGTAGAGGTGAAGAAGTTTCCTTTTAAATGTCAAACGCCTAGAGGGCCATGGCCGGGCTCCCACACAAGAGGATAAGGCAGGAAGATTGCAAGTTCAAGACAAGCCAAGGGGAGAGGGGCGGTCAAGAAAAAGTCAACAGATGAAATGATCAGGATAGCTAGTGAACAAGTTTGGAGCAAGAAGATAAAGGGTCATTTACATGGGAAGGGTGCAGGAGGGAAGAGAAGAGGAGAAAGAACTGCTGCTCAGGACAGGGGCTGTGCTCGGTCACAGGGAGCAGTGCAAAGAGATGTCCAGGATGGCTGGGAAGGTGACATGGATCTGGAAGTACTTTGAGAGTCGGTCATTTCTATACTGAATTGCATGGGTTGAAAAGAGGTGAGAAGCAGAAAAGTAGAGCCAGCCAGCTCCGACTGCGCTCCTACTACATCTCTTTGTAAAGACAGAGAAGTGGGGGTGATTATAGATAGAGGAAGAAACCACTGAGGAACTTTGTGCTTATTTGTCTTTTAGGGGTGTCGCCTACTCATTGTGCTTTTAGGCTGTGGAAGGAGGCAGGGGGAACATGTAAAGAGACATTGAAGACCTAGGGAGGTAGCTTAGTGGTGCAGGGCTTGCATAGCATGCGTGAGGTCCTGGGTTCAATCCCCAGCACTATCCAAAGAAAGAAAGAATGATGATCAATGAGATGAGTTTCAGAGAAGAATCATCTGAGTATTTCCTGCCGTGCACCCACCGTGGGGGTTACCTGGATGATCTCACTGGTACTCCCAATGTCCTGCAGAGGAGAGCGTCGCCTCTCCATAAATGGAGAAACTGAGGCCAGGTCTGGTCAATCATCTGTCCAAGTCTGTCACCTCCGATTGGAGCCCAGGCGTCAGCTCTTTTCATTCTAGTGCTTCGGCTGGGGGAAAGGTGGCTGTTTCTCTCAGATTCACAAAGGACGAGAAGCACAAAGAAAAGTGGTAAGTGTTCCTATCATACTCCTCAGACTATGAGTCAAAATAATCAGCTGCCAGAAAGGAAAGGTAGAGCTGGTCTCCAGGCTGGAGAGAGGAAGGGGTGAGCATAATTTAAGGGGAGAGGCACAGCCAGAGGGAGATGAAAGTGAAGCTCTGCTAGGACTCGGGGGCTGGACTTGCAGAAACCTGCACAAGACAGGCAAGCTTATCTTAGGACAGACTTCTCTCCAGGAAGGTTTAAGGACAGCTCTGAAAACGCCTGGAGCCCCAGCCTTCTGATTTTAACTTGAGTCATCTGCACGCCACAGGCATCAGATACACCAAAGGAATCATCAGTCCTGAACCACCTGCTCGAAGAGAAAACGCTGCTCAGCCGTTTGGTTTGGGTCCTCCTGAGGCCCTGGGGAAGGCAGGTGCAATCACCTCATCTTCTGATGTGAAAATAACCAAAGTCTTTGACTCAAAAATACCAACATCTGCTGATTTGCATGGGGCTTTTGCATTTCATATTTGGCTTTAATAACCCAATGTTAAAATTCATTGGTTTGACCCAGTTCAGGGGTTTAGAAGTTCAACGTGAAAAAAATCTCCTTGCAGTTTCCTACTTGCGCCCTTCTTTGCTCTTTTCACTCACACCCATCCATCTGGCTGCCCCTCAGATGAATTGTGGGTTAAAAAGCAGAAAACCGATTTATGTAAAGGCCTGTTGTTCTTAAAATGGTCTCTCTGCCAGCGTTTCTCCCCCTGTTCACAAATCAGTCCAAGCTGTGCCGGGTGCTCTGAATCCTGCATGGTCTTCACTGGTGACGAGCAGCCCCTTCCTCGGAACTCCCCAGAACTGGGTGTGAGGGCAGCAGTTACCAAGTGAGAGTCTAGAGAGGAGACAGCGGGGAAGGTGTTAATGAATAATCCCGGGGCCTCATTCTCCAGAAAAGCAATTACTGGGATTGATTGTTTCCATGTTCCCTTAGTCATGGTTCAGGTTGCTGGTCTCACTCAGATTAAGACAGATGGATGGCAAATCCGCACAGGCATGTGAAGTCAGGGCAGTTAGCCACAGCCCATCCAGGGCCTCTGCCTCCTTGTACAGGTGCCCCTGGGGTCTCAGCAGGGCTGGAAGGGGAGAGCGGTCCTTGTAGGGATGTTGCCTCGATGACACACGGGTGGACTTTGAGGTCTTAGTGACGGGCTCTCTGTTGCCTTCTCGTGAAAGGTACGGTGAGGCGCTTTTGGACCAGAACATGCATCAGCAGACCCTAGAAGGCTTGTGACGTGGATTGCTGGGCTCCATCTCCGGGGTTTCTGATTCGCGAGATCTGGGGTGGCAGGGCTGGAGAATGTGCGTTCCTAACAGATCCTGGTGATTGCTGCGGCTGCTAGACCAAGGGCTCACTCTGAGAACTGCTGGAGTAATGAAGAGCGTGACCCTGGGACCAGCCTGCCTGGCTTTCAGTTCTGACTCAAAGACACGCAGGTTGTGTGATCGTGGGCCCTGTGTGACCTCTCTGCACCTCTGTTCCTCATCTTGAAAGCAGGCATGAAAGTCATACAGCCTGTCCCTTGGAGTTGTTGCAAGGCCTACGTGAGTGAGAACTTCAGGCACCCAGAGCATGTCTGATGTAGAGAGAGTGTGTTCTGAGTGTCAGATAAATACTGAAGGGCCTGTGATCAGATCGAGCCGAGTCTCATTTCCCCAACACCTTCTGCTCCCAGTGGAGTGGCGGGGTCGTTTTATCCATTAGCCTTCAATCCCATTTCTGGTGGCTGAGAAAATAATGCCTAGCTCGTGCCAGCATGGGGGGATGTTACACCAGGAGCCATCAGAATCCTCTTTCTGAGATGCCTGAACTCTTCAGATCTAGTGGGCACACAGAACGGGATGCAACAAGCCTGGAACACTCGAGTGGTACTGCATCTCAGGTTTCTGTGCCCTGTACAGCTAAAAAGAGGGGCTGCCTCTTCCAACCAGGCTCACTGGCAGCCTCACACTGCCTGCTGTCGTGCTGAACATCGCGTAGGTATTCAACAAATGAACTACCGGTGTGTTCGGAGGCTTAGATCCAGGGCCTTACGTACCTTCGCGCTGTGACCCGGCCCCTCAGCACATCATCATATTTAACCTAACCCTCACGATGTCAGTTATTCTTGGTGTAATAATGCTGGAACTCAGAAAATTTAAATGACTTATCCAAAGTCACACGTTAAGAGCCGGGTCAGGTCGAGCAGGGCGGCACAAACCTATAATCCTAACGTTGTGTGAGGCTGAGGAAGGAGGGTCGTAAGTGAGCCCAACCTGGCAACTTGTCTCCAAATAAAACATAAAAAGGGATGGGGATCAATCCCCAGTGATGCAGAGAGAGAAGAGAGCGGGGAGGAAAGGGGAGGGGAGGAGGGAGGAAAAAGCAAGCCAGCTAGGTCTGTCTGACTTCAGTTACCTCTGATTGCAAAGCTTCTCCCGTTCTTCCTCCCTCATGGTATGAAAGTTAAGGCGCAGTCCCCAGGTACTAAGGTTAGCTCCCCTTAGACCTGGAATTGACCTCTCTTTCAGGGGTTTGCTTCTCTAAAGCTGGTGGCAGGACCAACAGAACATACTCCTTTTGGAAGTGGCTTAAGGTGAACCACTCGCTGTCCGTTCTGGCTGCAGTCTCTGGCTTTACTTCTGGAAGAACTTGTGTTCGTACTCCCAGAGGTGGCTTTTTCTTGTGTGACGTTGGATATTGACAAACTATAAACCGGAGGCCGCACTGAGTAGGTGAAGAGGGAGAATGATGTGCTAATGAAAGTTTTCTTTTTCTCCGTAGTGTTCCTTTCTGCCAAAATTCTCCATCCATATAGAAACCAAGTATGAGGACAACAAAGGAAGCAACGACAGGGTGAGTGGTCCGCCGTGCTCACTTCCTGAGCTGACAGCCACACCTCTCGTAGTCACTGATATGGCCAGGGCCCTTGGCAGGATCTGTACCCGGGACATCAGACATGCTCTGGCCTGTGACCTGTGAGGGTTTTTCCGCTGGGACCTCTCCCTGGAATTATGTGACGCTCTAGCTTTTCTTTTCCCTCATTTGTACGTACTTTCCATGGGCTTCTCCACAGAAATCTGTATGACCTTAGTGATTGCCGTTGGAGTGGAGTGCATGGCGGGGAATTCAGAGTGCCGGGATTTGTCTTCTGACCACTGGATTTTTCACATCTTCGTCATGACTATTCATATTCACTTAGAAAAGTGAAAGGGCTGGAGAGTTGGCTCAGTGGTTCTGCCACCTGCCTCACAAGGGCCCAAGTTTGATCCCTGGTACTGAAAAAAAGAAAAGTGATTATCATCAGATACATGTATGCATGCTATGTATGTTTTCTGTTCTGTGCTCATATCCACATATGTATGCATTCACACATACCCAACTGGAAGGTCAGCTGAACCCCTGCAAAATATTTACTTCAGGAGGCTTTCTGACTCTTCCTAAATTTTATTTTGTTTTTATTTTTATTTTTTGTACCAGGGATCAAACTCAGGACCTTGCACTTGCCCGGTGGGCAGCGGTGCCACTGACCTACTTCCCCACCCCTGTCTTCCTAAATTTTAGCCAAGTACTTTGTTTATTATCATTGCTTAAAAATCCAGCTTCAGACCTGGCTTTTACCTCAGAGTCTATCAGTTGGGATGACACAATTCTAAATTCCCCTCCCTTGGTAATGAATGTTTTGATGTAACCAAGAGGCCCACAGAGATGGGGCTGTGGGTTCCATTGGGACCTGTTAACAGGACGCTCTTGGATGGAGAAGCTGCTGGGATTCCCCTGTTCATTTCTGCCTCATGATATCTTCCATTTGTGGAGTTGGTGAGGAGAGAGTTTCTTGACAAGGTGACCCCTTTGCTGGCTTAACTGAGCCAAGGGACTGCCAGGTGTATGGAGTTTCCAGAGTGTCATCATGAAGACCTAAGGAGGCTGGTCATGGTAGCACATGTCTGTGATCCCAGCACTTTGGAGGCTGAGGCAGGAAGATAGCTACAAGTTTGAGGCCAGCCTGAGCTACATAGTGAGTTCAAGGCCAGCTTGAACTGCATAGTGAGACCCTGTATCATAAACAAAAAACAAAACAAAACAAAAAAAAGAAGACCTAAGGACTCCTACACTCTTACCGACTTGAAAGCAGTCACTGAGAAGAACCAGTGACAGCTTTAGCCAGGTCTACCTGTGGTTCTTTCATTGACATCTTCTAGAAACGACCAGAAAGTTCCTGCCCTAGACAGTATCAAATTCCTCTAGAAAGTACAGTGTGTTTGTGGACCAGACACGATGCTGTCTTACAGTTTGGCCATTTGGCTGTGCTGGAAGAGGAAAGCAGCAGAGACCTGAGTCCCAGACACTGTCTATATGATCTGGTGTCCTGACTCTTCTAAACTACCTTGTTTAGATCATTCACTCAATACCAGGAACAGAGCATGTCTCATTCAAGGTGAAGTCTGCCTGAAGTGGTTCCCAGGAGGTGACGCACAAAAACTACATTTCACACCAGTTTGGTAAAAGAAGACATTCATTCATTCAGTATTCAGCAAGGGTGAATTTATTTATATATCACTATATGAGTTACCTTCTATTTATATATCACCGTATGAGTTAGGTGGGTGGAATTTAAAATGCAATCTCAGAGCCAGGTGCAGTAGTGCATGCTTTTAATCCCAGTTACCCAGGAGGCCGAAGCCAGAGGATCACAGCGTGAGCCAGGTCTGAGCAAGTTAGTGACCTAGCAAGACCCCGTCTCAAAATAAAAAATTAAAATGGGCTGTGGGTGCTTCCTTCAGTGCAAAAGTTTTGGGTTCAGTTCCTAGTAAACCTCCCCAAAAAGTTACTGATACTTTTTTTTTGCATCATAGGTTTTATTTAAATGCTTAATATTCAGTCATTATTATATCATATTGACAATGATTGTTTAGACACAACTGTTGTGCTGGTTTCGGTGCATACTGCTGCCTTCCCCATGCCTTGGGCATTTTGTTTTGATACATCTTTCAGACAGGCTTGAGAGTTCATGGCCAGCCTGGGTTACCCAGCGAGTTTAAGATTGGTCTAAACTACATAATGAAGCCCTATCTTCAACAAACAAAGGACAACAACAACAAAACTCATGTCCAAATTTGAGACACTTGGGGACAGAGATCAACAGCTTCACCGGCCAAAAGCATAAGCACAATAATGCACCTTCTTTTGTGTAAAGAATCACCAGTGGGCCATCCTCAGACTGGCAGGTGCTTGAGAAGCAGCCTTCTCTAATGACCCATCTGTTTAAGGAATTGACTTGGCTCGTACCTGATCACTTCAGCTGCTTCGACTGTGTTAGGAAACCGGAGTTCTTCCGGGTTTGACAAACTGCTTCCTTTGTAGATAAAGTTTTATTAGAACACAGCCACATGTATCCATTGTGTATGGTCCAAGCTACTTCTCAGCATCACAGTTGAGTACTTTTGACAGAGATCATGTGGCCTGAAAAGCCTACAAGATTTACTGCCTGGCCCTTTCCATGTAAAAATGTGTAGTTTACAAAGACCCAAATTATAACAGCACTCACCAGATCTCAAGATCTGACCTACCACTTGCTTTGTTTCCCCACTGGTTGTCCCAGCCATGTGCCTGCTCTGTTGTGGACGGGTCCTTCCAGAGGAGAGAAGAGTGCTACAGGCTGGGGTCCTCTCATCCTACTAAATTTAGGAGCTCCTTAGTTATTCTCCACCTGAAGGCGGCGTCCCAAAGGGAACGTTTAGGACCATCCCGTCAGCAACCTGAAATAGAAGGCACTTCACTGATTAACTTTATTAACACCACAGTGTCTAAAACAGTACACACAGTGTTTAATCTTGTACTCTTATAAAATAATGACTTTTCTGATTGGAAAATTACTACAGTGGTAAAACTTGAAAAATGAAAAAAGAAGTACAGAGGAAAGAATAGAAACACCAGTAGTAGTCCCACAATTCAGAGATGACTCCTGTTAGATTTTTAGTTTGTGTTGGGGGTAATTAATGAATTTATTTTTTAACTGGTTCCTCCAAAGTTGAATCACAGTATGCTGTTTTTAACAAGACACGATAAACCATCCCCATGTGATTTTTAATGGTTTCCCTGCCTTCCAAGCTGTGGTCACTGGATACTGAAATAGGCTTGGTCCTATGTAGCTGTGGACCCCCAGGGGAAGGCTGATAAAGATCGGGTACCTTATTTCTTCTTCTGGGCACAACTGGAAAATATAAGGGAATTTTTAAAAAATCTTTTAGTCTTCCTAAACAAATTCCTTTGCTTTCTTTCTATGTCTCTGTCCATATAAATTAATTCAAAATAACTCTCCATACCAAGAGGTCAGAGAGTACTTTACCATCCTGTTAGGTTGGTAGGACCCATAATCTTCTGGTTTGTCCTCTGCTTATTTCAAATAGTCCAGAAAATTTGCAGTTATCATTTATTCACTTGTATCCTCTTTTGGCAAAGTATTGTGTTCTTTTTACTACTGTCCTAGGAATTTAGCTTTTGTATTATACTTCAGGGAGTTTTAACTATTGGGTTATCTTTTGAATGTTCCAACACAGAGAAATATAAATGTTGGAAGTGATAGATATGTCAGTTGCCCTGATCTGTTCATTGTATATTGTGTGCACGTATTAAAACATCATGGCGTGTCCAGTGAATATTTATAGTTATTATATTCCTTTTCTTTTTTTTTGGCAATACTAGGGATCAAAATCAGGACCTGGTGCTTGTGAGTCAGGTGGCGGCAGCACTGAGCTAAATCTCCGGCCCTACTCCATTAAAAAAATTTTTTTTAAATTTTACATATGGTCCACAATACAGTCAAGATCCATGCGTATGCCAAGTCAGTATCCCTTGCCCATGCTGAGGGCCAGGCCTCTCTGAGATTCAGGGCAGCCTGCAAAAACGGCACTAAGCCCCTGGGCACGTATGCGAGGTCCTCATGCCCTGCTTGCAGAGCGAGAGTAACGTCAGCTATCGGACCTGTGCTGTCTCCTTCTCCCCACAGACTGGCCCAGAGATTGCCCTTGGAGGCCGCCCCTTATCTCTGTACCCTGGCACTGACCTTGTCCATTTCTCCCACTGAAGAGGCCCAACATGTGATTTTACCCAAGTTCCCACTCCTGCCTCTGTTAGGCTCTGCATCCGGGTCTCCAAGTCTTGCTCCTGAGACCACTGGGCTAGATGACACATCTTTACCAAGTCAGCCTCCTGCCTCTCATATTCAAGAACATCAAGGTGGTTCGGGGCTGATTGTAGGAAGCAGCAGAGGAAGCCTTCATCAGCTTTCATTCATACTTGCTTATGCTTCAAAATCAGAACCCAAGAAATAGATATTTCCCTACTGCTGCTTAAATATAAGATCACCTTGTCCAGCTAACGTTTCCAAACCAGTCTTAAACTATACCATACGCTGGCATGTTCTTTTCCTGTCTAGGGTTGAGCATAGCATTTTTGGTGAGAGTGAAATTTAAGAAAGTAGGACAGAAATGGATATTTCACTTGTCCCACTGTATTGTCATGTTGTCTGATAAACTTAGTTTATCCCACATTTTCTGGATGAGATCTTTATCATTCAGCTGCTATCCTCCATACTATTGTCTGCACCCTGTTTCCTCCTCTGCCTGTCAAAAATTTAATGAAACGGGTGATGATAAGAGGCAATAATTAAATGGACAGACGCTAGAGATAATCATATTGACTAGTGGTTGAATACAGTACATGTCATTATCTTATTATCAGTTACCACATAAGTAATTTTTTTTTACATGACCCAAAATCTATCAGGAAAAAAAAAAAAACAACTTGGCAAGATGAGTAGTTTTAAATATCTTCTCCTTGACAAAAATAAAACT